CTACTCAGCTCCAAGTTTCAGGGCTGAGGGGCACGGAAGCTGAGGGGCTCTGAGGCCTGCGTGCGTCCGGGGAGTTGCTGCTGACGAATCCGCCCCCTGCCCGGCTCCGCCCCTACTCCCACCCTAGCCAAACTTTTCAAAAGGGGTAGGGTTGTTCCTCCCTGCAACCATAGCTCAACAACAAACCCCTTAATCCTGGTTCCAGTGTGAAGTGTGACCGGGGCTTCGCAGGGTTATCGTGGCTCGCATTAAGTACAGGCTGTTCCCCCAGGCCCTGTGCAGGCTTAGAGACTGGGGAGGCCCCCAGGGGTTTTCTAATCACTGCCCCCTTCCCCTTCTCTGCAGGTCCCGCTCTCCACCCAACCCGCCCTGGTTCACAGAACAGAATGGGTGTGGCATAGAGTTGCATATTTTACTTTATTTTTATTAAGTTAAAAGCTACAGTTTGGCGGCGGTTCCAGAACAGGGTAAGGAGGCTCCTTATTGGGTACAGAGAAGAGCAGGAGAAAGACAGACGGACAGAAACAGAGACAGGAAAGGGCAAGGTTAACGTAGATGGGGAATTGGTTCTGAATAACACAGCGCGGGCTCCATGGGGGCTCACACCCGCTAGAATCCCCCTCCCCTGCACCGAAGTTCAGCAGTGGAGATGTACTGGGGGGTGGGGGGTTCAAGACCCCTTCCCCTCCCCACCCAGGTCCTTTCTCAGCTTAGTCACTGGCGCACAGCACATACCAGAAAAAGCCAAGGGCAATGGAGGGGGCAGGAAGACTGGGAGTATGTACAGGGGAGGAGGGAGGCAGAGCCCGAGGAACAGCCTCTGTCAGAAGGGAGCGGCTCACACTGCACTGAAGCACTTGGCCTGCGGGGGACAGAGAAAGGGACAGCCCCCTCCCTCTTTGAACTCCTACCCCAGTCAGACAGGTTCCCGACAGTGTGGTATGGGGGGCAGAAGGAGAAAGGACAGAGGCTTCTGTTGGGTCCTAGTGGAGGAGAACAGCAGGGGCCTTGGCAAAGGGGATGTCCTTCAATCATCTGTGATACCCTTGGCTCTCAGCTCCTCTTGCACCCGGGTCAGGTAGGTGGGGTCCGGGTACCCGAACCTGGGAGCAAAGAGAAATGAGGGTCAGGGTTAGCTATTGCTATGAGCCAGGGTTACCCCCAGGCTCACACTCATCTGGGGGCCCCCTTGCGGCCCCTCTCGCCCCTCCCCTAATATCATCTAAGCACAGAGAAAGGGATTGACCCCTCCCTCTTTGAACCCCAATTCTGCTTATTTTTAGTAGGTTAAGCTGGGCACATCAGGACCAGGTTAAATGTAGGAGACACTGGGACAGGAGAGATGATTGAATAGTTTGGGCTGGTCCTCTCCAGTTAGGAGGTTCCCAGAGAAAGGGGGTTGATGTTATTCCCTCAGTGGAAATGGACTGAAGGGGAGGAGCCAAGTAAAGGGAAATGAAGGAGTGTCCCACAGTTGGGGTCCCCCTGTGCAGCTGGTCTTGTGGTGGATGTCGTTCCAGGTGATGACATTCGGTCTTCCTGTGGTCATGGACGTGCCAATAGTGAAGGTGAGACGCTGGTCAAACGCCTTTCGGAACAGGGTCAGCACCTTGTTGCCCTCGGGGCAGTCTGGGAGGTAGGCCACCCGTGTGGTGCCAGGGTACCGAACTCCTGGGTTTGGGTGTTCAGCCTGGGAGGAGGGGGAGGCAAAGTGGGCAGTGAGCAGCTGGGCATCGTAAGGTCATGATGCCAATGGAGGGTCACCCTGGCCAGCCTTCTGTCTGCACACCCAGCTGATGCTGATAGGGCAGCGACAGGCTGACGGCCTTTCAGGCCAGGAGAGACTGGAGGGTCTGGGCAGCAGGAGCCTGTTTCTGGACAAAGTCCTTACTGTTAAGAGGTTCCTTCTCCTGGGCGCAATCCCTAAGTTTCAACTCAGTAGCAAACAGATGCTCAGAAGTGATGGAAGGTAGCTGGTCCTTACTCCCCAGATAACTCAGCAGAAGTGCGAAGACAGAATGATCTATCTTTCACCTTCTCTTCTCTACCTGAAAACACTCCCAGTGCTGCATCCACTGTCTAACCTGTTCCGTTTTCCTATTGCTCTTCTTTGGAGCTTCCTCCTCCTGCAGCAAAGCAGAACTGGAAATTACTCTTTGTCAAGCAGGAAGGCACCCGTGGGCCCTTGACCACTCCCGCTGTAACCTTACACTGTCACCAGGGTTCTCCTCTCTCATATATCTGGAATGGAGTTCCACTCCCAGCTCTGTTAGAAGGGTTAGATCCCTTCCTGCTGTGCCTGCCTGCACCTGAGCCACCATCTCTGCAGAATTGGAAATTGCATTCAATTCCTTTCTCCGATACCTGACTTTCATGAGTGCCTTAGGGTTGTAGGGATGGAAAACCTGGGCCTTCAGGGGACCTCCTAGCTTCAGAGCATCGAGTGCGAAGGCATACAACAAAAGGCATGCAGTGGAAACAGCAAAACTGTATCACATCTGACAAACACACTCACCCTCCTCAGCTTTCATAGGTCAGAGGAGGAGCTGGGGGAGGGAGAAAACACAGGGTAAGGGCAGGCAGCAGTCTGCTTACCCCCTGGACACCGGGCGGGAAGACATACTGGATGACGATGGTGCCGTATTTCTCATAGCTGGGCAGTAGGAGTGTGGAGTCCTTAGAGACCAGCATCCGCCCATTCTGGGGCTGGTTGCCCACCAGCTGCCCATAGAAGCGGCCACACATGGGGCAGGCCTTTTTCACCTGCAGGGCCCGGGTGATGCAGCCTTCACAGAACGAGTGCCGGCACTTCTCCAATGTCTTGGCGTTCTGGATCTCCCCCAGACAGATGGGGCAGGTACTCTCTTGCTCTTCTGCCTCCTCCCGAAGGCGGGGAGGGAGAGGAGGGGGCAGGGGAGGAGGAGGTGGGGGAAGACCCCGTGCCCCTGGGGGCAGGAGTGGGGCTGCTCTGAGAGGGGGTGGGCCTGGGCGGTGCAGCTCAGGGTGTTCCCCCCCACCCCCCAAAGCCAGGCAGCCCATAAGCTCCCCCTGCCTCTGAGCTTTCTTCAGCTCTTTCTCTGCCTCTTTTAGCAGCCCCTTAAGAGCCTTCCGGGCCAGGTAGAGCCCATTGGGAGGGGCCGGGGGAGGGCCCTGTGGGGAAAGCTGGAGAACATAGATGTCAGAAGTTTCGCCGTCTATGAGGATGGACACACGGTGCTCCTCCCGAAGCCGGGCCAGCCGGGCTGGGGTCTCCTTGCTCAGGAAGTCCCACACAGGCTTGGAGACAGTCACTTTGGTCTTGCAGGTGCCTCCACAGGCTGCCATTCTGGACAGGACGAACGACACTGCCCCCAGGGTGAAAGGCACTCAGGGTTGGGGGGTCCCCGTTTGACAAACATCAGTGCCTCCTACTTCAGGTTTCTTTCCAACTTTATATTACCTCTGTTCTCTGAAAGTCCAACACCCAACTAACTCCTTCCCCAAGTTCATTTTCTCTCTCCTCTTCTCTTTCAAACCCCAGCACCAACTGAAGAGTAAGAAAGTTTCTACAACATTCTCACCTAAACCAAGCATCATTCTTGGTTCTCCTTCCACTCCCCCCAGGGTCACAGCAACAACCTGCCCCGCCCCGCTGTGGATGAAAACTGGGTTCTGTAAAAGGGTGGGAGAGACTTTCGGACCCTCCTTTTTGCTCACTTTGATCCTGAAGAGCTTAGAAATGGCATGCAGGCTCTCTTTCTGTCCCTGCTCCCTACTTGTAGGTGGTGTGACCTGGTGGGCGGACAGGGAAAGGAGGGAAAGTGAGAAACCCCTTGCTCCGTTCCCACATGCCCCAACCCAGCAACCCACATAATACAGATAAGAACCTGAATGTAAATTACTCAGAATGGGATTACTTGGAACACAGAATGGAGGAAAGCAATTTAAAGGTGAAAGCTGCAGTTCCCTCGGGATACAGGTACCTTGAAAGCCCATGGACGATGACAGCGGCAGGAATCCCTCTATTTCCACACTCAGCTGACCAGGACTAGGGGGAAGAGGGAGGGTAGAAAGTTATGATGACGAATGTTACCATCCTCCCCAATCAGCCCATAAACAAAAGAAAAACTCCTCTTCCATTTCCTCTCCTCTCCTGCAGAATCCCATCCCCCTAGCCTCTCTCCAAGTTGTTAAAGAAGGAATTTCAACATGCCAACTTTTCTCTTTTCTCCCTCGGCTCTGAGGCTCTCAGGAAAGTCTAGGGAACAGATAAGAGAAGTGAGGAAGGGAAAGCCCACACGTATGGAGGTCCTCCTTGCCACTTCCCTCAGATCACAGGGACAAGAATAGTTCCTATGTTCCCCCACTCCTCATTCTGCTCCACATTCCCACGGAATTTAGCCCGTTTTGCTGGGGGGGGTTCCTAGAGAGTCCGCCCCCTGTCTCCAGCTGAAGTCTGTCTGGAACTCAAACTAAGTGGCAGCAGCCCCTACAATAAAGTTCTCACTGTCACCTTTTAAAGCCAGCACACCAAGTGCAAGCCTGTCAAGCAACCTAGGCTGTATTTAGGAGAGGTGGGGCTCTGCTGGAGGAGTCTGATGTTCCCCTAAGTCTCGCCATGCTCAACTGCAGAGGTGTCCCTCCAACACCCCGGAAGGCAGCTCAAATAGACAGAGGGGCTGTTAGCGTGACCTCAATCCCTGGACTGATCCTAAGGGGACCAGCTCTCAGTTTTTGCCTTCGTCACAGTCCCCTCAAGGCCAGATGCATCTTGAGATTCAGAAAGTGAAACTGGAAACCTGGAGCCTCAGGTCTCACCGTCTGTCCAGGTGAAACACCCCTCCCCCAGCCCACCCATCGGAAGGAACCAGGACCTAGGTGTTCTTAGCTCCAAGTCCTGCCCGCACAGAAAAGGGAGGCGGGGCCACAGCTTATGCTGGGTCTCTGATTCCTCTGGGGCAACCCAGGCTGGACACGGGGTCAGTCCCTCCCTCCGGACAGGGGCTGGCAGCCGGGAAGGACAAGGGTCCCTGGGGGCATCCACCGAGGCTGCTTCACCCCTCCCCCCACGACCTCCTGCAAGACACAACCCGGAACCAGCTCCCCACTCCTCCCCTCTCGCAAAGCCCCCAGGGCTCCACCACTGGGTGCGGGTGCCTGTCGCACGATCCCTGTCCCCAGAACCTCTAAATGGAGGCCAAGGCTGGAGGATGACAGAAAGAGGCTCCTCGGGGTAAAGGGGGCCCCGGCGCCGCGCACGCACGGGGGAAGGAGGCGGAGGAGGGGGCGCAGGGGCAGCGGGAGAGCGCGTGAGGGGTGCGAGCGGGGTCCGGGGGGCGCGCGGTGGGTGTGGGGGGCGCCGGGCTCACCTACCTCTCGTCAGCGCCGCCATTGCCGATCACATGACTGAGGCTGTTGCTGGGATGACGGCCTGGGCCATAGCAACAAGGGGGGGAGACCCCGAGAAGGTGGCGGGGGCGGGGGTGATTGCGAAGGGGGTGCAAACTGAGGGAAACAGCCGACTGCACCCCCCCCCCAGGTGCCAATCACCGTCCCCCTTCACCCTTCCATCCTGGGGCCCCTGCCTGCCCCCCCAAACAAAAATGGAGGCTCCGTCCCAGTCTTTGGAGGGAGTGGCGTCGTGGAACTGGGGGTAGGAGGTTAAATCCCTTCCAGACGCCACCCTGCTCGCCACCCGCTCCCGGGACCCTCTCCCTTTTCTTCCCCGGCCAGCTGCGTGGCAGCTTCGGGAGCTGGTGGTGGGTGGGTGGGTGGGCGGGCGAGGAGTGTCGGTCTAGGTGGATGGGGAAGACGGAGCAAATCGCTATGATCCTTATGCTAGAAGGGCCTTCGAGGAATCATATGGGATAGGGAAAGGCACTGGATCTAAAAAACAAACAAACCACAGGACTGAACTATTTCAATCTCCTCCCTCATCTCTTGCCTTTTTCTAGATCACCTTCTGTGACCCTCACAACCGGCTCCCAGAGGGGTAAGTTGGTAAGTGCCTCTGATTGTTTTCTTTCCAGAGATACTGAGGCTGGTGCAGAAGGGGAAGAGAATACGTTTTTCCAAAATGCATTAGGGTGGGGGTGGTGTCAAGTCTGTGGTTCAAACAGAGTTAAAAACTCTCAAAGGGAAAAAAAAAGGTCTGCTCAGTTTGCTTCCCACATCAGAGCAATCTCCACCCCCAGTCCAACTTGCTTCCCTGGGGCCACATCAAGCCAGGGTTTTCCACCACCCAGACCTCAGTGCAGCAGCACCGGCTCTCCCAGACTGGCCACAACCTCTGTCCATCGCCCCCTTTTTTTCACTTCACTCCCCTTCTGGGCTGGCGGGTTTGGTCACTTTCTTCTTCACTTTCCCAGGACCCGCTGTACTATTCCTGCCCTCCAGGCAGAGGACTTCTTTCCCAGGAAGCCTAGGAGAAAACTAAATTTCTTCTTTTAGCTAGTGAGCTGAGACTCACTCTCCACTTTACAGAGATGGGGATGTGACCAAGCCTAGAACCCTGGAGGACAAGGGAGGGTCACAGCATCTCAGTTCTCCCTAACCTGGTACGGCTTAACTTCCACAAAGCTGGAGACTAAGTTCCCATTCCTATGCACAATCCTCAGAGCCTGAGTTCATTGCCATCTATCTAGAAACCAGCATCCTTAGAGGCCCACCTTAAAGATCAGAATTCTTCATCTAGTCCCTGAACCCATAAGCACAGGCTTCTTCAGAAAAGGGGAGGAAAAAAAGAGGCATTTCTGTGAAGGAATTTGGATTCGATAATTTAATTTCTATACAGCGACAGCAATGGGAGCAAATACACAAGACCTTTTGTATTAGTTAACAAACAAAAAAGATGAAAGTCAGAAGCAACAAATGAAGACCATACTGTTCATGGCACATCAGCAGCCACCTGGTCAGAAACCCATTTCTAAAGAACAGTAGTTGCTGGTGTTACGGAGTTTTATTGCATTCAACTGGGGAAAGGTAGATGGTGGGAATGAAAGAGGTCTATCAGGCTCTGGACAGGAAGGTGTCACAAGTGCTCTGATCCTTTACTGGGATCCCTCTTGTTACTACCTTTGGAACAGAAGATGGAGGGGAGAAAGGACTTCTTCTTTATGACTTCATGACTTCTTGTGAGATGGATCAATCCAGACAGATGCAGAGCAAAGAATCTTTGCATCCCCACAGGCCAGTGGCTGGTGTCCGTCTTTATATTTTTTTAAAATGTAGAAGCTTCAAGGGGTATGGAGGACAGCTAGAAGAACGGCCGCCTTTACCCCAAAGGCATTGGAGGGCAGGGAGGATGCTATCTGGGCTCATCAGGGTCCTCTGCATTCTGAGAATATCATGCATCAGCTCAGCTGTCTTTGGAGGAGGCTGGGTGACTGAGTTATGACTCTGACTCCTCTGGGGGTGGAGAGAGAAGATGACAAAGAAGGCCATCTGTCCCCTGGGAGAAACAGTAGCAGTAAGATGGGACAGAAGAGAACAGAATAATAAATCCAACTGGAAAAAGAGTTTGGGGGAAGGATGTATGCGAGGCACACACCTCTAGGGAGCAGAGGAGGCTCTCATACTTGACACCTCCATCCTCTTGAAATGACCAGGGTGGACCCAGGTAGAGATATTCCCTTCTCCTGGGAATAAAACCTCAGGGGTGGCTAGACACGAAAGGAAATTTAATATGGGGAACGAACCTTACACCCCTGGCTTACCATCTTAGCCTCCAGAACTGGCCATACCCCAGGGAAGGGTTCCAGTGCCAGAAGGGGTGTGAGGTCCTGGGAAGAGCAGCAACACATGCCTCCCCACAAGCCTGAACACCCTGGCCAACCATCTCTGGGCTCCTGTGCCCAGAAGTACAGAGGTAGGGGTGGAAGTGGAGTGAGGAAAGATAGCTTGGAGAGACTAGTCAACCTCTGAGACTGACATTTCTCCAGTTCCCTGCATAATCACGACTCCCCTTAATTCCCACCTCCACGAGGTGTGAGCCCGCTGAGCGTGCTCCTCCCCACCTCTGTGTGTAGACTAGCCGTATCCCCTCATATGCGTGCACGCCTGCACCTTCTGTAGTATCGTGAAGGTCTTCCATCCCAGAGCCTACCGGGGAGGAAGTCTGCCACAATGAGTTCTATAAAGTTATCAGCAAAATTCAGACACTCTTAGTTCATCCCACAGAGCAAAGTGCATCCATAGTAGTGGCTTGAGCCAGGTCCATCTGTCCAATTAGGTCCTGAAGCTGGCAGACAACCCCCTCCCCGCCGCTCCTCCTGTGTTATAGAAACTACAGAACATTTTACCAAAAGTCAAGGCACTTGGGAGAGAATCAACAGTAACATGCTAATGAAGCAAGTTGACTTGTTGGAGGCAGAGAGGGAAGAAAACTGGACGAAGGAGAGAAAAGGTGATGTATTTCTGAGGGCTTGGAAGAGCCTACTCAATAAGATGGAGTTATTCGGGTAGAAGGAGCCATAGCCTGGATTCAGCAATGAGGAAGAGAAGACGTAGTGACCAGAATATCCGTATTTCCCCCCAGGCCTCTCAGAACCCCACCACCTTGAACATAAAGCAGCAGTCACCACGAAGTCTCTTAGGCAAAAATGTTGGTGATAAAATCCAAGAATCGCTTAGCATACTGCTCAGGATGGACGGTAGAGATCTCTGCCCCAGCCTGTGAGAGGAGGTATGGAACACGGTGTCAGGCCACCCCACCCCTCCCCCCACCCCCCATCCCCCTCTCCACATGGCCATACCCGACACTTCACCCTTTTGCCATCCCACTGCTCTGGCACAAGAGGCTCTTTTCCAAGGAACAGTCAGGGCAGGAAAGGAAAGGCCTCGTGGAACCCTCACCCCATGCTTGACAGTTTTGGCTGCATGAGCTGCTTTCTTCTTGGCGTCATACTGCGTCAGGATGTCAATGAGGCCCATGAAATACACTTCCTTCTGGGGGGCCCCTGGAGAGAGTAACCACCAATGAAGAGCAAGTACAGTCCCAATTCCCTCTCCTCAGGAACCAGTCAGATCTGTTTCATGAAGCTAACCCACTCTCCACCCTACACCCTGGTCTCCGCCCCACAGGGACCACCTTTCCCACCTGTAACATTTCCAGGATCTCTCTTACCCTCCGCACTCCGGATGGCGTAGACATCAATGAAGGATTCAAACTCTCCAGGGCCCAGGGGCCGATGGGAATGGATGTAGCCGCCAATACCCTCAGGGGAAGTGCCATAGGAGCCCACCAGAGTAGGAGGTCCAGTCAGGCCACAGTCCCCATCCCCTTCTGACTCCTCCTCCCGCACAGGCCCCTCCTCCTCTGGTTCAGAGCCGCGAACTATGTCGTGTATGCCCAGCAGAAGGCTGTAGTCCATGATCTTCAGCTGCACTAGGAACTGAGACCCCACTGACAAATCAGATACCCTGATCTCCCTTCCCACTCCCAGGTACCACCCTTATGCCCCCCTCTACCCTTGAATTTCTGGGGCCCTCCTGAGGAAAGGAAGTATACAAATTGAGGGTTGGTAATATACCATTGTCCTTCAGTACCTAAAAGTCCTGGTGTCTAAGATCATCCTTTTAGCTCACTCCAGCGATCCCCTCCATGGGCCACCTCTAGGTGGTTTTCATGTCTCCTACCTAACTCCTTACCATGCCGAAAACCCAAAGGATAAAGGGAAGGGGGGGGAATTCCCTCATATCGTGAGTGGAGAGACATTAACCCTGAGGGGAACAAAAAAGGAAACAAGGTCATTTCCCACATCATCACCTCCACATCTCTCTTTAGCTTCTCTAGAAATACTTTCTTCTCCTCTTCACCAATATAAACTTTTTGGTTCTTGTTGAGAAAATCCATATCCTTAAGGGTGGGCAATTCCTTAACCTGAGAATAAGTAAAGAGACATCTTAGGAATCTGCCCCTTCCCTGAAGGTCCCAGAGAATCCTGCTCTATCCAGGGCTCTGTCTCTAACTCAGTGGTCTCCAGGGGGAGAGATCTTACAGCCCTTCTCTCACTGGACTCCACACAAGGATGCTGCTCCAGAGACTGTTCTCAACTCCAGTGGTCTTCCCGGATTCAGTCACTGCAGCTGTACCCCACAGCACATCCCGCTACTTTCTGCTAATGGTTTTCATTGGGGCCCTCCATGCTGACTTTTCTTTCTTCTCATTAAGCAAAGCTAGTTGACTGAATAGGAGAGCCCAGAGTGAGGGATGGAGGTTGAGCATTTTGCTCTTCATGTCTGACATCCTTATCCACCCCCAAACCTTCCACATGGAATAACCCTCCACAAAGCAGCTGTTCCCACTGCCCCATCCACACAATCCCTGGAGTGGAATAAGTTTACGTGTCCCCCCCCCCCCCCCCCGCCGCCTCTTTATCCGAAGATCTCTTTCATCAGCCCTCCCCCATCCCTCACCCTAAAATGAGTATCACCTTTTCCTTGTCACTGGCTTCCCGGGACACTAGGGAGCCCTGTGGAGAGACCCAAAGACCAAGTCAGTAGAAGTGGCTGAAAGAACAGTGAAGACCCAGCTCCTGAGATGACTACTCAAACCCAAAGCTTTCTTTCCTTTAAAATGAATCATCCAGCCCTGGCTGGCATAGTTCAGTGGATTGAGCATGGGCTGCGAACCAAAGTGTCGCAGGTTCGATTCCCAGTCAGGGTACATGCCTGGGTTGCAGGCCATGACCCCCAGCAACCACACATTGATGTTTCTCTCTCTCTCTCTCCCTCCCTTCCCTCTCTAAAAATAAGTAAAATCTTTAAATAAATAAATAAATAAATAAATAAAATCATCCAGTGCGCTCCAAGGCCCTTCCCCACTCTCGGGCCGTCGGTGGCCTTCCCCTCTGCCACAGCCGTCCTCTCCATACCTTGAGGTCATACTTCCTGTGCACAGGGAGACGGTGGCTAAACATGTTGCGCATCACAAGCATGTAGCTGTCCTCATTGTCCACACTGACCCGGTACATCCCTAGGAACTGGGGCAGCAGCGTGTTGCCATGACACTTCACAATGTACTGCGGCGGGAGGGGGGGAGGAATAGGGAGAGGCTGAGCGGTAGGTGCACAAACAGCCCAGAGATGGGCATTCGAACACTGTCTTTCCAGAGTGAGCAGAAAACTTCAAGTAGAGAGGCTTGGAGAAGGTCAAAGTGGCAGGAGCTTCCTAAAGATGCCCCTGGTTAACTGTGAAGTTTCTGAATCCTAATCTCCTCTGATTAATTCATTTGTGTAATGTCTCAGTTTTAAAGTATCTTCTCTCAGTTTCATATTTATCTTTCTTTTGGATGAAGAATGTAGGTGTCATTATTTGTATTTTAGATGTTCTTTATATGCAAATGGTCACAGGATTAGAAATTACTTCTGTTACTCAACAAATTGATTTTATCCAGACCATTGTTTCTTGGTGGGCTAGATTCCTCTAGTAAAAATGTTTGCATGATGGTCTATAATTTGGATTCTTAAAAAATTATTCCTCTTTCAATGTTTCTCCCACCCTCCCTCCGCGCCCCAGTATTGCTGCGTACTTCTCTTCCTAGCCAACCTTCTCGGAAAAGTAGTCAGCAATCAGTCTGCTTCCTTTCATTCACACCTCAAATCAGCAAAATCAAATATATACCCTCATTTCCTCCTCTGAAATCTTTCTAGTCCTTCCTTTTACCCCAAACCCTTCAGCTGCCAGATACAACGAGCATTTAGTCATTGTCATATGTAAACTGAATGGCACGTGCTCCTGCTGACTAGTCCCCCTCCTTAAAACTCTTCACCCTCAGTTCCCACTAGACCACTTCTCTGATTTCCCTCTGCTGTGTCCTCAAATCCTGTGTGGAATGGAGTAGGACATAAATAATTAAAATTTTCCGTGGGCTCTTAAAAGTTAACTTTAAAGAATATTTTCTCTAGTTGCTCCTCAAGGCTTTGTCCTCAACCTTCTTTTCATTTCACTCCATACTTCCCTTCAATAATGTTATCTAAGCTCGTGGCTTTATTTATCTTTTTTAAAGATTTTATTTATCTTTAGACAGAGGGGAAGGGAGGGAGAAAGAGAGGGAGAGAAACATCAATGTGTGGCTGCCTCTCACATGTTCCCTCCTGGGGACCTGGCCTGTAACCCAGGCATGTGCCCTGACTGGGAATCAAACCAGCGACCCTTTGGTTCACAGGCCAGTGCTCAATCCACTGAGCCACACCAGCCAGGGCATAAACTCATGGCTTTAACTACCACCTCTTCACCTATAACTCTTAAGCCCAGACTTCTATTCTGATCCTCTTTCTTTAACTCCATTTCCCAGCCACTTAATGGACACTGATATCTGGATGAACTGCAGATAAGCCAAACTCAACATGTCTAAATTAGGTCTTCCTACAAAAACCCGTTTCTTCTTCTGCTTCCCAAGTGTTGGTGAATGGGCCTCCAGTTCCCCCTGACTGGGAATTTGGAGTGTTTTTGCCTTAATCCCACAACTCTACCCTAAATCATCCTTTCCAGCTCCATCGCCATTGTTCCTCCAGGCCCTTGTCATTTCTCACCTGAACAATTATAATTACCCCCTATCTGGTACCTCCACCCCCAATATTCCTCCCTCTAATCCATTCTCTATCACATGGATATTTCTAAATTATATACATATCACTCTCCCGCAAATCACCTTCAGGGTAAAGTCCAAACTCTTTGTGTTGCTTATAAAACCTTCATGATCAGCCCTGGCTGGTGTGGCTCGGTAGATTGAGTAATGGCCTGTGAACCAAAGGGTCGCCAGTTTGATTCCCCATCAGGGCACATGCCTAGGTTGCAGTCCGGGTCCCTGGTTGGGGTATGCAAGAGGCATACACAGTGATGTTTCTTTCCTTCTCTTTCTCCCTCCCTTTCCCTTTCTCTAAAATAAATAAAATCTTAAAAAAAAAACCTTGACAATCTGGCTTCTGCCTAACTATTTTTCCACAATACCATATTCCAGCCACATTGAATTTCTTGAAATTCCCTAACACCGAGCTCTCTCAGGCTTCTGTGCCTTTACAAGTGCTATTTTCCTTTGCCCAGAATGCTCTCTTCCACAATACCCAATGGTCAGTCCCTTTCAGTTTTTCAAGAATCAATTCCTATGATATTCCCTCTTTAAAAATGTCTCTTTGGGCCTCCCAAGTGTATGTCCTTCCTTGAGTGAGTCAGGATGCTCTTCCTCTGTACCCCAGAGCATTCCGTACTAACCTCTGCTACTGCACACCCATTGCTATGTGCTAATGCTAGCTTACTGGACTCTGCCATTAGAGTAAGAGATCCTCAAGGGCCATTTTATTCACCTTTCTCCACAGCCTAATCCAGGGTGGACATTCAATATTTGTTGGATAAACCAAAGATTCCTTTTGGAATCTTTCATTTATTCCTTGCCCATTGATTTTAGTGAAATATTTTCCTTCAGTAGAAAGACATTCAGACAGTGTTTTTATCACCAAGATATTCAACAAACATGCCAGGTTAATCTAATCAGACAGAATAGCACCCTACTCCATTTTAGGGGTGGATATGATCTCGGCTTCTACCTTCTAGTTCATCCCAATTATGCACTCACCCTGGTTTTTCTCCCCAAACTGCATTTACTCCTGATAGAGTACTTGGTATTAACACTTTACCCACTTCTAAGTCTATAGTTTATACTTTGTTATACCTGTGTCCTTTATGTATCAGTCCACACTGGTTTTGGATGGAAAGTATGAAACGAGAAGGCACAGGCCTAGATTCTATTGAAACAAACACAAGTAGATGCAGAGGCTCTCTTCTGGAAATTTCTAGTTTTTGAAAGACATGATGACATGATCTTGAGTTTTTCTTGGGGAGCAAAATGGGTTGTAGGGAAGGAAAGGGATGGGAAGTCTTCCTGTGTGCTCCGGCAGCTGAGCTGTAAGAAGAGGGAGGAGGAAGAGAAGGCTGGAGAGAGGCCTGACCTGGTGGTAGTTGGAGAGGTTGCTATGCATGTCGGCGATGTCCTCACTGGATACTTCTTTGATGACCAGAGTCCGATCATAGGAGATAAGGAAGCGGCCATCACTGCCTTCACTTTCACTCGGGGGACTTCGGGTAAGGGATACCTGTTAGGGACAGGGAATAGACCAGAGGTTCTTTTCCTCCCCCTTTATAAGGAGATGGGAGTCCTAGTATAAGAATCAACTGAGTGTGTCTGAAAGTAGACAAAACCCTGGTATAACAGGATGAGCAGGGGTTCTTAATCTGGTGTCTCTATAAGGACTGGAAGTGGTGTAAAATTTTAATATATATACATTCCCCCCCACCCCAAGGACAGGGTGTATAGCTTTCACCAGACTCTTGAAGATGCTTGTGACGACAAGAAGGTAAAGAATCATAGTTACCAAGGTTCTCATTTCTCCAAACATGGCTGTCACAAGGATTCCCCAGTGGTTAGGAAGAAACGACTACCCTCAGTCCATAATAAACTCTCACCAAGTAATCCTGGTCATCAATGCCAAATCGATCGCGAAGGTTCCTGAAGACCTGGGGACAATACTCCTTGAACTTGAAATGACTGGGTAGATTTTCCCTGAAATAGAGTTTTTCAAGGTAAGAAAACAAAGTAACAATATTACCTTACATTTATATAGAATTTGACAGTTTATAAAGTATCTTCACATATACTACCTTATTTGATTCTCATAAAACCCTTCTGAGGTCTTTTAAAGATGCATTTATTTCCATTTTATAGAAGGGGAGAATGTGACTCTGGGTAGTCTGCTAAAATCACATGACTAGCAAATGGCTTAAGTAAAACCAGGTTCTATTCCCCATCCAAACCACAGCATTTCCCAAATCTCAAGCAAGCCAAACACATCCTAAAATTGGCAATAGGTGCCACTTTTTAGAATGGCACCTTCTGATACTAGGAGGGCTTAGAGACTCTTTTTTCCCTTTCAGGGAGTCCCTATCAGAAGCTAATGGTAACAGCATCTAAATGTATTGACTCTGTGGAACTGCTAGGCAAGAGGAGAGATAAACTAGTACATACACATAAGGGTGTAAGGAACACTGAAAATTATTTTAATGTTTGGGGTTTTTTTTGCACAACACTGAATTTCTGCATTGGGAAGGAGGTTAGACAACACAACTTATAAGTTGCCTTCTAGGTGTAAAACCTTTAACTCACTCTCACTCTATTGAATCCCAACTATTAAAATTATTTACTCTTTTCTACAAGGGTTGACAACAGAAGGATGGGCATTCCCACATACCTGTGGAAAAGGTGATTGTTGACCTTGATCTTAGAGCTGGCCTTAAAGTCATCTGGCAGCAGCATCACAGGGGGAGGCACCTGGCTGAGCTCATTGATCTGGTAAGTCAAAATAAGAATAGGGAAGGAGTGAGTAGGAATGTGGAGAACTACTCATACACTGTGTCCAGGCACGAGTCAGAATACAGCAACTCAAACCTCATTCCTTTAAAAACACCGCTATGCATTCACTGGACAGAGGGGAGAGCCTGCTGCCCAACGAGGCCTGGAAGGACTGCAATAAGCAACCCTCACCCAGAGCCCCTCACACTCCCATCCCCGAGCGACTTCATGCTCACAGTAGTCATTCTATATCAGGCAAACCCTGAAAACAACTCAGGACTATTTTTAAAGCTGTGAAAAATTTCAGAGAGAAAAACCCTCAGCAGACTCAAGACAAACAGTTCCATGCTCCATTAAAAACAAAACAAAAGGCATTTTTAGAAGTACACAAGACAGTTAATGGGACTATGAGGGGTCAACAGCGACAAGAACGAGATGTCCATGTCCTGCAGGAGGTATCGCCTTACAAACAGGACCGGTCCTTCCAGACCACTCTGACCCAGTTCTTGCAGTAGGTCCCACCTGCCCTGGTGTAAGGTAGAAGAAGAGCAGATTTCAGAAGGAATGCAGGCAGGCAGAGGATATGAGCTCATTAGGCATCTGTTCACTGAAGTCAAGACAACCCACAGCCCAAAGGATGCAAACACCACATGCTCTTCTCAGCCTCCAGAATCAGCATCTAATTCTGGGTGGAAAGGCAGTTCCTGCACCAAGAAATCTTAAGGAGATGTGCTTTCCCCCCAGTGCTGCCCCAGTCTCTTTCACCCACCTTTAACAGTGTACCCATCATCTGACTACCTAGTCAGATGATGACTAGGTAGTCAGATGACTGACTACCTAGACTGTGAGCCCCTCCAGCAGCAAGGACCTGCTCTAGTCTCTGGTGTCTCTCAGCTGCCTAACTAGCACAGTGTTTGGCACGCGGTGGTCCTGAAGTTTATTAACTGAGTAAATGGATGCCTTGTCTATCTTTACCTTAGCACTTGACAGAGGCTGCGAAGTGAGACTAACCTAAATCCCACACATTGCAGTGAAACCCAGATCATCTCATTCTCAGCAGAAAAGGAGGACAGAACATACTCCTCCAGGAAAAAAAAAAAAGCCACTTGAGATTTACAGCCTAAAATTCAGCTACAGTTCTTCATACCCCCTCTTCACCACCTGCTATAAAGTGGGCTGAATCATCACTAAGACATATGTTCAAGGAATTTCTCCATTCCAGACATTTGAAGTAAATGTGTATTGGATGGAGAGTACAGTGTTGAAGCTAAAGTATATAGACCTAGGGAAGCTGAGGCTGGTCTTATGTGTAATTCCCTTACCTCTTACTAAAGGAAAACCCTCCTTGTTAAGCTTTCCAAAGGGATGGATGAGTCACCTATAAGGTACACATGAGAGGCAGCCCTACCTCCATCAGCCTTGCCCATCCCAAGTGTCTTAGATTGGGTACTTGCTAATAAGACATTACTACCCATGGAGCTGGGGGAGCACTGCACAGAGCTACAAATGCAAAAGGGAGCAGACAGACCCCAAGCAACATTTTAAATAACAAATTAAGAATGTGACAAAAACTATGCTTCCTCACCCCCTTCCACCTCTACAACCCCACTAGAATTATAACAATTCATGGAAGATGACGTAAAATACTGCCTGTCACATTCGAGGTCATTGCAACCCTCCCACTCCAGATCTAAGGCAAGGGGACAATGGCTGTAATTCCTTCACCTGGGTTATCCTCAGGAAAGGAGATGCACTGGCCTTTTGGCCCCCTCCTGATTCCCAGGCTACACTCTCTACATCAGTTTTCTGCTTCTGAAGTTCACCACCACAGTGTGCCCATGGTCAGCGCTTCTCAGCCATCTCTTCAGTCAACGACGACCCCCACTTACACCAAATACCATCACTCCAGCCAACAATGGGGATGCAGTTAAGACCAAAGGCTGAGTGAGTGCAACCGCTAGGCTCAGGAAGGGGTCGCTTCTCTGAAATGCTGTACCTCTGGAGGGGAAAAGAAGGGACAAGCAGGATTAGAAGGTCCGGGAAGCCCGGAGCTTCCCTTAAAGCCAAAGTTCCAAAGTCAAGGGCGGCAGCTGGAAAGCAAGGTGGAAAGGAAAGTGAACGATCCCCCTTATCCAGCTACCCTCCCTGCTCCCCTTCCACACACACTCTCACGGGAGACCTCACCACCAACAACCCAGAGGAGCTACTCCCCCTAATGTCCTTTCAGCGGGAGCCGGGTCCTGGCCGGTCTCCGCAGCCCGCGCGGGGCTGAGGCTGGATCTGGCAGGAAGGAGGCAGGGAGCTGGATTTCAGGTGGGGAAGGCGGAACTAGAGTGGCAGAGTAAAGGGCGGAGAGGGAGACAAAGTCTACGGTTAAGGGAAAAAGTCTACAGAGAAGATACACTGGGAGAACGCCTGGAGGCTGGTGAGCAGGGAACAGGACAGCCCGGGGGGAAGTGGCAGCAGCGCGAGGGGCGCCGGAGACAGAGGACAGGGGCGCCCGAAGGCTCCGGAGCTTGAGGGGTTCGGGTAGGTCTACCCGGGAGGGAGGGGCGCTAGGGCCGGGTCTCACCGAGTGGGCTACGCCCCACAGGAACACGCCCACCAGCGGGTCAGCCGCCCGGAACACCTTCACCTTCTGCTGCACAAAATGCTTCTTTTTGGTTTTGGAGGCGAAGCCGAAACCCTGGCCGGGGGCCGCTGTACTCGCCGGTACGGTGGCCGGCGGGGCCGAGGAGGACGCCATGGTGCCCCGCGTACCCGACCGAGTGGAAGTCCCGGGATCCGGGCTTCCAACCCCGGAAGCGGTGCTCACCTGCTCTGCCGTCACGTGATCGGAGGCCGGCCCGCAGGCGCCGAAGCCGGCAGGGGTGGGGCCGGGCGAGCTTGGCTCCGCCCCCCGCCGCTAGCTCTTTCCAATGCTGGTGCGTGGCCAGGGCTCACCTGGCGCAGGGGGCGGTGCTTTGGCCCCGGAGGGCCGCGCGTGGTCCGCGCGGTCGTGATGCCCTGTCAGGACACTGAGGCAATGGGGATGCGGCCCGGGCGGGCCTGTTTCACTCTTCAGTTAGGGGCTTCTGTGCGCTAAGTCGCCGCCCGGTTTCTAGGAGTAACCTCCTGCCGGAGGCTAATCAAAAACATTTATTAAGGTAGTAGAACCCTTAAATGGTTTTCATGTATTTATGTGCTTGTTTTTTAGAGAGGACCACTCTGCATCATTCTGGAGGATGCCTGGAGTACTGCAAAAGTCTACGCACAAGATGATGAACTAAAACAGTAGCCGTTAGGATGGAAAGGAGAGATGGCATCTAAAGTTACAGTTTGATGTCAACTTGGAAAATTCTTAGTGATTTGTGGGATTTGTTGGAAAGGAAGACACTGAGAATGAATCCCAGGCTTCTGGCTAAGGTGAAGACAGATGGTGGCAACATGAAAAGGAGCAGTTTTGACAAAAAGACAAGTTCAGTTTGGAACATGGTAGGGGTACCTGCGATCAATTGGACTTAGGGGACCACAGCTCAGCAGAATGGGCTGTCCTGGGGGTACAGATTAATTGTTGCAGAATCTGTGGGCATGCATGACATCTCTCAGAGAGAGCAAGGAAAGAACCAAGGGCTGAACCCTGGTATAGACCAGTATTTCAGAGGCTGGTGGGAGAAGGCTGAGGAGGGGTGGCTGGCCAAAGAAGTAAAGGAGCCAGGAGAGCAGGAGCACAGGAGCCAAGAGAGTGGAGTTTCAAGTAGTGAAGAGCAGTGACAGACGTCACAGAGAGGTGAAGCAAGACAAGGACAGAGAAGTGCCTATTGTACTTGCTAACTAGTGACCTTTAGAAAAAGCAGTTTCGCCAGAACAAGAGCCAGATCAAGGTGGGCTGTGGAATGAATGGGAGGTGAGGAAGTAGGGATGGGAAGCCAGGGACATTTTTAGGAAATTTGCTTAAGAAAACAAGATGGGGAGTGTTTTTTAAAAGATTTTATCTATTTTAGAGAGGGGGAGGGAGGGAGAAAGAGAGGGAGAGAAACATCAATTTGTGGTGGCCTCTGGTGGGTCCCCTACCGAGGACCTGGCCTGCAACCCAGGCATGTACCCTAGACTAGGAATGGAACAGGCAACCCTTTGATTCCCAGGCCAGGCACTCAATCCACTGAGCTACACCAGCTAGAGTAGATGGGGAGTATCTTAAAGAGAAACACACAGTAAAGGGAGGGACTTTTAAGGGAGACCTTACAAAGAGAAGGAAAGAAATCATTGAGACAGAAGTTAACAAAGAAGATGCAAACTGCCCGAGTCTGCATCACTTTTAGTTATTTTACATGCCAGGTTCTGAGTGCCTAATGAATGAAGGATCTAGAAGGGACTGGCTTTAACCCAGAGAAGGGAGTTTTATCACTTGTCAGAAGGGAGAAAGGAAAGGATCTGTGCAGACATTTAAGTGTGGGTATTGAACATGAAGAGTTTCATGAACATGAAGAGTTTCATGTTCAATAGCCTTAATTTTTCCTCTAAAAAGCCAACAAAGTTGTTGCCTAAGAGAGGAAGGTATGAAGGGGTCTTGAGCAAGGGTTAGGGTTCAGACCAGTTTCCCTGGGGGTGGGAGAGGAAACTGTGCGAGGATACAGAGAAGGAAGGTTAAGCATCAAGTGAAGTCTAGTTAGGTTTGCAGGCTCTTTGTTTTTCGTTGCCCCAGTGTGTTGGTTGTGCAGTTTTCTTCATTCATCTCAGCAGCTCTGAGGTATGCGTAGAGAAAACAGATAGGGGTATGCTCTAAAATGGGGGTCAGGAGGGTGACTGTGGTAGATGATCATGGGACGAGAGAACTGAGCTTCTGGCAGGGGCAGGAGACTCATCAGAAAGGGACAAAATTGATGCTGGGATTGAGGTGATGGTCTGGGGGGAAATGAAGAGAACAGGATACCATTTTTTTGTTAAAGAGTACCAATAATCTAGAGAGATGTCCACCAATAGTGGAATGGTTGAATAAATTATAGGATAGGCATATTAAATATATACATTTAATTAGGTAAATCTATGCATATTGACTTGAAGAGATTCCCCACGATATATTGTCAAGTGGGGTGGGGGCAAAACCTGTGTGTGAATATATAGAAAAGCATGTGGGCCCTGGCTGATGTGGCTCAGTAGCTTGGTTCGATTCCCAGCCAGGGCACATGCCTGGGTAGCAGGAAATTTCCCCAGTTGGGGAGTTGTGATTGATGTTTCTCTTACGCATTGATGTTTCTCTTGCACATCCATTGATGTTTTTCTCTCTCCTTTCCCCTCTCTCTAAAAATTAATAAATAAAATCTTTTTTAAAATAGGAAAACATCTAGAAGAATATATACCACACTGTCAAATGCCATAATATGCAAGGAAAGGAGAGACTAGGGAGGGAAAAGATTTACAACACCAACGAGTCATCACTGAATTTATTTTATTTAAAGATATTTATGTACATCAAATACACACTGGGTTTTGTGCAGTTTGGTTTGTCTTCCACGCTGGCATGCAACATTTTGGCAGTTGTTAAATGGGCAGGCCAGGTGCCCCTCGCGGAGACCCTGGCTCTCTGAAAGGGATGCAGTGTGGGGGTGTGGGGGAGGAGGAGAGAGATGTAGAGTGAACCTTCTGCTGAAGGCTTTGTGTGAGTGTTGTTTCTGGTTAATGTAAGTGTATTATATTTCTCTTATGTCTTGCTAAAGAGAAGGCTGCTTCCTCTGTCATCTCTCCTCATCTGCCCGACACCTTCACATTTTCTTGTGTGTTTTCTTGTGTGCTACATTTGGTGGTAAGATTACATAAAACCCACTGGATTCTTAAATGCCCTCCTGGCAAATATTAGCACAAGTCTACAGGTGCACAGGTATCTTCATCCTCCCTGATTTGGTCTTGGAGATAGGATCCACGAACTCTCACCCTCCTTGCTATGAGTTGCAAGCTTGGGACAGGGAAGTCAGACTGAACTCCTTTCCTCAGAGCAGTGGTTTCCCAACTACTCTGCAGAACCTTCAGGGTCTCTTAGGACTGTTCAAGGACTCCTCCACAAATGAATGAAGCATTCACCACCAAACAAAGAAAATGCAAAGCACCCAGGTCTGTATCGCTTTTAGTTATTTCTTCTACTAGGGTTCTATATAGGATTTGTCTTGAAAAATGTTTGAATATCACTGCTTTGGATTTGTTCCACATCCCTCTGGCATTTTCCCCCTGTATTCCTCCTTAATTTGTCAAAGGGGCCCAACAGAGAAGGGACTTCTTCCCTTGAAGGAATCCTGGGCCAACACAGCCTGTATTTACTGACTCGCACTCACACTGAGCTTTCTTTCCTGACTTAGAAACTAGGGGATGGTTACCCACTGCTAGGAGATCCTGTTCTTCCATCCTAGGTAAGACTGAATAATTGGGCACCATGCTTTCTGGATTTAGACTTGCTTGTGACCACCATTCTCTATCCCTGCAGTTACCTGGAAAACCGCCTTAGCACCATGTGGAAGAAAAGGCCATCTGTATCCAAAACAATACTCCTATCAATTAGATGGAGGCTGAGGGGCTTGGGAGAAAAGACTCCCCCCGGTTCATGCCCTGGGGTTCCTCCACTTCTACAAAACCTGCCCTGCCCCTTTCTTTAAAGTGCACTTACCAGATGGGGACATTATAGAAGGAACTCTTTATCCAAAAAAAGTTTTTTTAAATGTATATTGGTTGAAAGGCAGGCTCCAGTATGAAAGGAAGGCATCTCAAGATAGACATTTTGCCAATGAACTGGAAGCCCCCAAACCAAAAGGTAGAGATGGGGAGAAATGCAGCCCAATATGGGACAGAGAAAGGAACCCAGCACATCCCCACGGCAAAATATACTTATGAATTCCCCAGGCTGTTCACCCTCAAACCCGAAGAAGCAATCATTTGACTACGCTTGCCTATAACTGCTACCATGGAAAGATGAGCGACCATTTGTCAGACTGTCAGAAAGGTCTGCCTCCTCAATCTTTCAAAATATTTGAAAACAACTCTAGGTTCTAGTCAGGAGCTCTGGGGTCGAGACCATCAAAAGGAGTTTTGAGGAGAAAGGGAAGTGGTCCCTTGAGCAATCCATGTTCTCGGCCATCCAGGGGAGAACAGGAAGAGGGAGGCCAAAGGCAGACTTCGAAGGGCAGGGGTGCATACCTGGAATCCCTCAGTTTGGGCGAAGGGTGAATGAAGAAAATTCTATATATCATTTAGTAATCCCTCCATTTTACCCTCCCCTGTGCTATATGTGAAAGAGGAGGGAGGAAGAATCTATTTCTGTATCTTCTTATGATGCTAAGACATTCTCCTGCTTAAGGCTTTGTGTGTGTGTGTGTGTGTGTGTGTGTGCACGTGCGTGTGCGTGTGTACATGTGTGAAGGGTCACAGCTCTGTAGCTTCCATTTTTCCTTTTATCATCTTCATGACTAATGCTATGCATATGAGAGACGCATATGTGAGAGAAAGAAGAAACATTCGCCCTCCTCCGTATTTTCCCAAATAAGGAGGGTATACTATGCTCAGAAATTGCTAAATACATCATTAGATACTTAAAGAGTGAGACAGAAGAGAGAGACATAGCAGCAGCTGTTGATATATAGATACAGAGTACAAAGAGATAAGACATCAAACATGGTACAGTCGAACAACAAGGGTTGGGAAGGGAGTTAGCATCAGAGACCACAGGTTTGCAGCATGCTGAGAGAAGAGGCCTCAGTCCCTCTTAGAAACTGGAGAGAAAGAGAAAGAGGTTGTGAGCAACCCAACTGCGGCCCAGCCACCGAACAGGAATAGCATGGCACTGTACAGACTGGTTTGTGTGCAGTCATGTTCCTTTAATTCCAACAACCGGACACCACCCTCCCCACCCTCCTCCTCCACCCCTGATCTTCCTAACCCCTCCTCTATTCCTACTCCTTTGCTTCTCATGCTTTTCTGCCTGTGTGTGCCTGGCCTACTGTTCTGGAAAACCCCTGGAGAGGGCTCCGTGTGGATGCAGCCCATTAAGAGACTGGCTGTGTTCTTTCATTTCTAGTTCCCCAAGGATCACAGGATCCTTGATCCTTTCCCGAAGAAACCAAACAGGATCACAGCACCCAGGGCTGGGCCCTAAAGCAGCCATGGTGAGAAGCTTGGTGACACACAAGAACCAAGAAGGTGCCTGTCCTGCTGCAGGAGAGGACCAGGGGACTGAGGCGGGGGAGGGTGGGGAGGGGCTTGGAGGTGGGGACGCAGCTGTTTCCCACCTCTCCTGGGCAAGATGAGAGAGGAGTGCTAACACTGCAGCTGGATAAACAAAAAGTTAGACTGCTGGGCATTTCCTAAAACTTACTGGTAATAAACGGACGAGGAGCATAGGACACAGGTGCAGGAATAAATCGAACGTCTCCTTTACTGGAGATGTCTTAGAAAATACCCATCCACCCAAATTATTTTAGGGTGGAGGCAGAGGGAGGGTTGAGATGATCTCTCAAAGTCTCCTAAAATCTATTTCGTTCTAAGACCTGTGTGTGGCTCTGGCTCCACCCTCCCTTTCTCACTTCTTTTGACATGTGGCAGTGCCGCCTAGTGGCAGAAGGGCAGTACTATTGTTACTACTATAACCAAAAGGAAAGTATAACCGGGGAAGGGAGGTCAGTGTCCAGAGGACGTGGGGCAGCACAAATATGGGCCCTAGAAGGGAAAGGCAGGAGTTGAGGGACAACAATGTAGTAAAAGCTTTGATATGATAAAAGAAATAGAGGAAGAAACAAAGAGGGTGAGGGTGAGGGCAAGAGAGCAGGTAACCTGAGGCTGGTCAGAGGAAGTGGCCTGAAGCTACCTGAAAGTGCAGGTACGCAGCAGCCTTGGGGGAGCTTAGCTGGCTGCCGTCTCTTGGTGGAGAGGGAAAAGCTTGGCCTGGTCCTCAACTTCATAGCCGCATGGCAGGTCACTCCTGAAAGAAGAGACCCAGCCAATCACAGCACTGTCAGCTCTGTATAAATGAAAGCATTCCTTTCACTTTGCTCTCATGGCATTCCTGTGAGATAATGAAGGGCAGGGACTATTCAGATTTTACAGGACTAGAGGGAAAAGCAAGGCCAGAGGGATGGAGCTGACTTGCCCAAGGTTACGGAGTTCCCAGAGGCAGGAGAGAAACCAGGGCCTCAGGTGTCTGTGGCATTTCCCCAGGCCCATAACTGGAATGGGGAGAAGCCACAGATGGGGCTGGAGGAGGGGGTGGCATTCTGCACAGAGGCAGGGGAAGGACAGGATCTCCTGGACAACAGCGATGGCACACAAGACAGATTTTCATTTCCTCCTCCTTCCCCAGAAGGCTCCAGGGAATCTCTAACTAGGGCATGAGGGAAATTTAATAATTTCTTCTGGTCCCACCCAGAGAACCCGAGAGCAGTGGGGACTGGTGTACCTATTGTCGTTGATATCTGTGGCATTTCCTGAAGAGATCATCATTGGGAAGGCAGGATTAGAAGAAGGAAAAAGAGACTGGGCATTAGTAGCAGTCTCCCCCAACCTGTCTCATCCAAACCCCTTAGAGGGACTGGTAACAATCTTTGGAGACAGCTGCCCTCCGAGTCTCTGGCACTCCATCTACAACCACCCAATGCTGCAGCATTGTTTTGTCTTGGGAAAAAGCCTCCCTGATCCCTCACAAAGGAGAGGGGAAGGGGTAAGGAGGGGAAGGGTGGGGACAGGCACAGTAATAGGAGGAATCTACTTAGAAGAGGCCAAGACCCTGACAGATGAGCAGTGTTCAAACTGTAGGTACAGGGTCACTCTTCTTATACTTTTCAACATGTCCTGGGGATCCTAAAGGCTGTGCCCCATCTTTCTCACTCACCATTGTCCATGTTGGCCTTCTGGTAGGAAGCCAAGGGGCCGCCAGAAGACATGGCTCCACTGCTGGCACAGGAGTTTGCAAAGCTGGATGGAGCAAAGGAGAGAGATGCAGCCTCTGGCACCGCCCCCTCCACTATGCCTAGGACACACCCACACACCCTCAGGGATGGAGCCATCCCTCTCCTCCCCAGAGAATAGAAAACAAAAATGGTCACAGGCTTGGTAGGCAATGCCCACTTTCTATGGATTAACAAGAAAGAATCAATGAAGCTACTTAGAAAAAGTTGTCTCACCCAATTAACTGACCCAACCTTATGCCTTATAAAGTACAGAGAGCCTTGGCTGGGGCTCCACCCTCACCCACAGTCACTTACTACATATCTGAGGTGGAGCCCGGCGCCGCCTGCAGGTACAGATTCTGGTAGTTCTGGAAGAGGCTGTTGGTGTAACTGATGCACTCGGGACTCCGGGTGCCATAGGGGTTGGTGGGTGAGGACGCTGGGTAGTGGCCAGGCCGGACGGGTTTGGCTGTGACAAAGACAGGAAAATGACCCTGAGGAGGCTTGTTACTCTGCAGTTGCCTTGGTCCCTGAGGTCCCATTTAGTAGTTGGAGTTGAACTGAGTTGCTTATAAGACAATTCACTTTTATTTGGGGAGGGGGGTGATGATGGGGCAGGTAGAGAAAGAAAGCAGTAATCTAGTTACTTGACACTCAGGAATTCGCTGAATTGCCCTAGGTGGTAACCGCACCTTGCCTGCTGTCCTCCACTCCCCACTCACCGATCTGGGCAGAGTGGCCCCTCTTGCCGGAGCTCTTGTACCGAACGGCCTCCTTGATGCGGTCCACCTCCTGCTGGTACCGGCGCTTGTCCTTCATGGCGCCCTCCTTGGCCTCCTTCAGTGCACCCTCCAGGGCCTTAACTCTCTCAGCCGTAGCCCTAAGTCGTTTTTCCAATTTAGGAAGCTCACAACGCAAATCTGCATTGTCACGTACCAGCTGCAGGGTGAGCACCAGGGAAGAGGTGGAAAGCAAGGCCAGTGACCCAAGATGGAGCCAGCAGCGGGGTGTGGGGTGCCAGTGGTGAGAAAGAAGGAAGAAAAATCACATCAGAGAAGGCAGAGACCATGTTGTTTCCTCGAAAACCTCATTCCCTTTACCAAACTTGCTGTCTTAGCTAGTTCTTTCTTCTCCCTGAGCAAATGACGGTCAGGCATTATACAAAGTCACACTGTTTTCTGGGCAGCAAAACGTGCCAACTCCACTGTAGCCCAGAACTCTTGTTATAGCACCCTGTCCCAGTCTCCTCCTGGCCTCGACCCGCCCCACCCCATATCTTACAGCTTGTGCCAAACCAACAGCCCCAGGGTGACCATGGGGATGAGGTGCCCCTCACTCAGAGATGGCTTTATGGGCATGCACAGGGCAGGGCAAGGCAGCAAGAGCACAGTGGCAGTCCAGAGGGTGGACATGGCATTGAGAGCAGGTGGGGTACAGTGCAGAGCAGGAGCAGAAGCTGGAATCCAGGAGCTCCCACCTCACGCCCATCCCCACACATACACATGATGCCCCACAGGAAGGAAAGAAAATGTTTGAGGTTCACAAACATTTGTGCTCATTACCTTCACAGTCAAAGATTTTCTTAGCTGTCCCTCCCCCATTTAAATTAAACTACTGTGGGGTAGCAACCACCCTGCAGCCAGAAGAGACGTCCTGATCTTTTTACAGGGTCTCACGCGTGTGACTGGGGTACTATGGATTACCAAAGGAGCTGGCCGTGGAAGACAGCAGGGAAGTCAGTGTAGCTGGGAATGCTGGGAGGAAGGGCAGAGCTAGAAACACTTCTGTGCCCCTTTAATTTTGGACAATTTACAGATTATAAACAGTGTTTTGCTGGGACAATAGCTTTGCTTAATTAGTAATAGGGCTGTAGCCCTGGCTATTTGAGATTTGGCTAATGGAGGAGTTTTTCCATCTCTCTCATTTTCCTCTCTAGCCTCAGGTCTGCTAAGGTAGGGAACTTTGAGGAGTTCTCTATGCTATTAGTGAGTACCTTTTGGCTTTGGGATTTGGAGCAGAGACAGAAGCTTCAGTTGGGGGTAAGGAAACAGCCTGTGGTTTCCTAGCAGTTGCCATGACATGCATGAATGTGGGGGACATTATGCTAAGTGAAAGAAACCAGTCACCAAAGGACAACTACTGTGACCCTGCTTTGACCAGGTAGTTGCAGTAGTCAGAGTCAGAGATAGGAAGTGGAATGTAGGAGCCAGGGCTGGGGGGATGAGGGGAAGAGTTCCTGTTTAAGGGACGGAGTTTCAGGTCTACAAGACGAGAAGAGCTCTGGAGACGGATGGTGATGATGGCCGCACGGCATTACCAGTGTATTTAATACCAGCAAATGTACACTTAAAAGTGACCAAGGTGGTCAATTTTATGTTATGTGTATTTTAGCACAATAAAATAATTGGGGGAAAGGCGATATAATATGCATTTAGATAGAGAAGGAAAATGAACGCACAGAAACTGTGAAGAATGGCAGAACTGATAACAAATGATTCTTCCCCATCTTTCAACTTTCCTATAATGTTGTTATACTGTTTTATAATAAGCAAAGGGAAAGAAATGGTAGGAAAGTTCTCTGCAAGCCCAAATAAAACAAATAAACCCTTCAGGCTATCACTGGGCTGCAGTTCTGGGATTTTTGTCACTATAAAAAACAATAATGTATTGTGTATTTACTATATATGCTGGGCAGTGTAACTGGGAGGAAAATGAGTTTAAGGTCCAGTTTAGCGAGAATATAAGTTTAAATGCAATGTTCAAGTGGATTTCAAAGGAGGAGAATGAAGTACAGGTTGGGGTTTATCTTATGAATCAGTTAAGAGAGCCACTTGACACCGTGGCACCTGTCTTCAAGGCTCAGCTATTTGGCTCTGTCTGCACCAAACATTTCCTGTCCAGACTCCTTCAGACTGCCCCATCCACCTCCCCGCCCCTACCTTTGAAACCCAGTCATCCACCTAAGGAACCGCAGCAGCAAGGAGGAGGAGGGGGACAGAGAGGCAGTAACTTAACACACAGGAGTTTTGCCTGGCCCTGACCAGGGGCTGTCTGGCCATCTGGAGGACACCACTGAATTTCTCCGCATGCCTGCCTCAGGCCTAGGCAGATGGAGTTCTGCCCGTGAGAGAAAGCTCAACTTTCCTGGCTTCTTCTCGTCTTGCTGCTTTCTATCTTTGGCTAAAGTCTGACCCATATTCCTTGTGTACAGTTATAACCCTGTGCTTCTGAAACCTCCACCAGCTCCAACCTTCCCCTCCGACAACGTGGGCCTGGGGGTCCCACTTCAGCAGAGGCAGGTTGGGAGCACTGAGAAGGGAAAACATGCATGGGACAAAGAACCAGGTAGAAGTGGAACCAAATATGGAATAGGGAAGGGATTAGTGGGAAAAGTACGGGAAACATGCAAGTAGATTTTCCTAAATCCAAGGGGCCTCTGAGGATTTGGGGTCCCAGGCACCTGGCCTCGGGAGTTCTCTTCACCCCACCCCCCATTCTTACCTGTTTGTGAACCTTTGTAAGCTGTTCCAGGTTGTTCTCAAGAAAGGAAATCTTCTGCTTTTGGGAATGAATCCCCCCACTGTCCTCGGGCTCCATCTCTGCACTCTGAGTAAAGACAGAGGGAAGATGTGGCTGTCCCGAAGCCAGACAGGACCCACCAAGACCAGGCCCAGCCAGCTGACATCAGGCCAAAGGGCTGGAGGGACCTGAGAATGGGAGGAGCAGATGGGGCTGGGAAGAACCCAAGCGAGGACTGCACTCACTTTCTTGACTCGAGTCGTGACGTCTTGAACGAACAGCTTGCGAAGGTTGTGGAGGGTCTGGAGTTCCCGGGCCTGGAAAGAAGGATAAAAGACTGGGGTAGCTGAATACCAGGCCAACATTTTCACTCTGAAATTCCTGGAACCTTCGGTCTATCCAGTCAGGTGAGTCACTCATCCTTCAGGAAAAGGTGTGTCCTGCTGGCGCTACAGACTGACTCTGCAGAGGGCCCGAGGGAGGAGGTGAGGCGCCCACCCTGCTAACTCAGCACAGACGGAAACTACTCACAACTGTCTCCTCCAGACCCTTGAGGTCCTGCTTGGACTGCTCGTGCCGCTCGTACAGAAATCTGGAGGAAGAGGGAAGCAGAAGACTCTCTCAGGACTCTCCTCCCCCCTCCATCCCTTTTCCATTTCTTTATTACTTATCATACAAGTTACCCACCTTCACTATGCAGAAATTAGAAAAGGAAAACAAAAGATAAGGAAGGTGAGTTTCATAAAAAGCTCATGATTCTACTACTTACAGATCAAACCACCATTAACATTGTGATGTCCACCTTTCCACACTCTTTTTTCTAGGCATGTGCATCCCACATACACTTTATGGGATCAGGCTGCTCATACTGCCTTGTAACCTGCTTTTTACACACACATCTCTCCATGTCAGCTAATATTCAAGAGAGGGCATTTCTGAAAGTTTCCTTTTTTATTTTCCCTTCCCCATCCCATCAAATTATTCTGGTGAGGCCTCTGCTTCCTATGATCATCACATTCACATCTACATTGCATCCGGCTTCTGCAGGGGTGGCTGGAGAATCAGCCTGGGCCTGTGGGGCCGCCGGTGTGCAGGCGGACCCGGGCACTCACGTCAGCTCCTGGAGTTTGGTGCTCTTCTCATGTTCTTCGTTCTTCAGCTTCTCGTAGTCTGCCTGAAGCTTCTCTAGCTCTAACTGGAGCTTCTGATTCAGGCTGCAGAGGGCAAGCGGTATGGAGAGAAATAAAGAATGCGAATGATGGAGAAAGGGAAGACCAGCTTCTCAAGCATTTTCCCTCTTGTATGAGTCCAGTTAGAATTGATGCATCTCCCTTCAAATATCACAGGCAGACTCAGGCCACTGTTTCCATGACAAAGTAAGGGACCCTGAACTATCTGGTCATAAGAACCTGAAGGACTGGGCCTTACTCCTTGTACCTCCTTGAGCTGGGCTGCAAAATCATGTCACAGTTGGGGGAATGACACATGGAAGTTAAAGACTAAGATCCTGGGCCAAGAGGGAGCATGTGAGTGGGCAAAGCTGAGCCAGAGGTCCGGGTGGAGACCAGGACCACCCTTGGAAACTTACTCTTTGAGCTCATCAATGGTCTTCTGCTTCTCATTGATCTCATCCCGAAGCCTGGCCAGCTGCCGGTGATGGGCCTCCCGGTGACTCTCCATTTGCAGCTCCAGGGCCTTCTGAAAACAACACCCCACATTCAAAGCCAGACTCCCCAGCACCAGCCCAGTGAGGGCCAGCACAGCCCTGCCAGGCCCCAGTTGTCCCTACTCCTTCCCCACTCGCCTTCACTTCATCTGCATCCTGTGTGTCTGGCTCTTTGTCCTTCAGGGCCACTTCGTGCACAGTTTCTAAAAGAGGGAAAAACAGCTTACACCACACCTACCTCCACCAGGAAGAACTTCACGTGGTGACCAGCCCTCCAGGCAAGGCAGGGGACATCTACCCAGAATGGGCCCACACAGGGAAGTCCTTCTGGATTAGGACAGTCCAATTTGATACAGCAGGGACAGAGGACAATGGAGTGTTTATGGTTCATGCACAATAAGCTACATGCAAAAGCTTGCTAAGTAGCATGTAAGTTGGTCTCCATGATTTTAGTCTCATGCTGCGGGGGCAGGGGGGTGCTGTCGAATGGTTTCTTTCAATGTTTGTCACCCTCCCTCCCTGACGCTCTGGGATCTCAGATCTCAGGATAGATGGGTTGGAGGTTTAAGGAGGCCTCACCCTGGGCCTGGAGCTTGGCCAGCTCATCACTCAGGGAGTCATAGGACTCTTCCAGGTGCCGCTTCTTTAGCTCCACGCTCTGCATGTACTCTGTGAGAGAGCGGATCTTGGCCTCGTGCTGGTGGGGGAAGGGTTGGTGAGAAGAAGAAGATGAATGGAGCCAAGGCCACCAAAGACCTCTGCAAACTCCTGCTCTCTCCCAGGCCCTCTGCTCCTACTATGTCTTCCAAGAGGATGCAAAGTCAGGAGCAATGCTTCTAGAGAGAGCCTTTCTTTAGACCCCATCAGCTCAGAGGCCAGTATCCCCCCTGCACCCTTCACTTCTCTGGCCTAGACCCTCCCCTGCTAACCCAAACTCTTCTGTCCTTGACTTCAGTTGACCCTAGGCCCTTGACATAGAGGTAGGTGCTAGGAGTTGCATCTCATAACCACAGAGTCGCCCACCTTCTCCTGTGGTGCTCACCTGAGAGATGAGCAGCTGGCAGGATGAGAGCTCCCGCCCAGTCACTTCCATCTTGCGATGACATTCGACCTGGAGGTTCTCCAGCTGCCGGCACCGCTTGACCACAGACTTGACCTCTGATTTGATTTTGCTGATATAGAGTCGGGCCACAGTGAACTCCTCCTCGATGGCCCCGCTGATCTCCACCGGCTGCGGGGAGCCAGGGACAGAAGAGGTGCTCCACTGCAGGAAAGCTTCTGTCCACTCCCTCCTACTCCGCCTATTCCCGCACACACCCACGTGCCCAGGGACTCAGGTGGGACAGGTATTCTCTGAACAACTTTTAGCAGCTCTCTATCACCTGGCACTTCACACTAAATCCCTCTATCTGTACTTAAAGGTCCAATTCCAACAGTCACCCTCTTCCATCTTAAAAGGAATATGATTTTCTTTTGCAAACTGTTCTGCTTGATCACCTAGTGGGTGTTGTCTCTGCCACAGATTTGCACATATCATTTCTAACTCTGTGCCCCCCTCTCTAAATCCTGCTATAACTACGTCTCCATTGCTACTTTTTTTTTTTTCAAAGAGAATTTTAATAAGTGTTTATTTGAGCCAAACTGACCACGTATGCCAGGGAGCAAGATCTTGTGTGCTCCTCCATTGCTTCTGTATTCAGCATACTTTAAAAGGTGTATTTTCAGTTGAGTTTATGCAAACCTCTGCTTGTTTTCCTGGGTCTAGTTAGCATGTTTCCCGGATCTCAGCCCCCCATTTTCATTGTCCCTGAGGGCCTGAGCTCTCCCATCTTGCATTTCCCATCAATGTCCAGAATAAAAATGACCTGAACAAAACTGCTGCCTCTTTCCCACTCACCAGCTTAATCTCCCCGTTGCCCACGATGACGCTGAACTCACTCAGGTCCTTCATCAGCCCATTCAGCACCTCAGCAATTCGCTTTCGCTGGTGTCCACTGACCTCCTGTAGCCGCTGCAACTCAGACTCCAGGGACAGCATGGTGGCCTGGGGACAGCCCCTCAGGTCATCCCACCACCCTCTTCCTGCTCCCCTGCCCAGCCCAGGCAGAAGCCTCTCCCTTCATGCATGACTCTGATGGCTGCCGTGAAGAGAATGCAGGCCCTGCAGAAGGGCCTGGAAGAGAGAAGGGTCAGGAGGGCAAAGTGCAGTGAGCAGCTATGGGAGGGTCTCATAACATATGGAACAGCAGCGCAAAGGTGCAAGCACAATGGTCATGCACAGTGGAGCATGTTCTGTGGCCAGGGAGCTCTTGGACCCCAGTCGGACACTCACCACCTTCTGAGACAGCTCATCCACCAGAAGCTGGTTCTGCTGGCTCTTTTCCTCCACTTCCTGAGACTTCTGGTCGTAGTTCACAGCCAGCTCCTCCAAGGCCTGCAGCACTTCCTTCACTTCGTCCTTGGCGGCGTCATTCTCTGACTGCAGGTGGCTCAGCTCCCGCTGGACCTTCTCGTTATCTCCTCGAGTGGACACCAGCAGCTTTAAGGGAGAGAGGAGGCATGTGACGGGGTCTGCTGCCGATGACCACTTCTGTGGCCCCTGCTCTCGGGAAGCTGAGCGCCCCCACCCAGGCATAGCTCTAGGAGAGAGGCAAGGCCCAAAGTAAGAGTCAAGAGGAAGTGGGCTTTAGGCTTCTTAGAAATAGGGCAACAGCGCTGAGTGGCTCAGCGGCCTGAGGAAGGCCTGTGAACTGAAAGGTCACCTGGGGGCGTGCGAAAGGCAACCAGTTGATGTTTCTCTTGCACCACACATCGATGTTTCTCTCCTTCTCTTCCTCCCCCCTCCCCTCTCTCTAAAACATAAATAAAATCTTTTTTAAAAAAAGAAAAGAAATAGGGCAACAGAATGAAGAAGCACCTAGATGCCATAATCTGTGCTTTAGGCAAAGCCCTAATTAAGTGCCCAGACCTCTACAGTTTTGAGGGTGACTAAACCCTAGCAGAATGACCCTTCTCCCATCCGATTGTAATAAGGTCCTTTCTATGCCTTCCAGGGATGGACACACCCCTCCTCTCATGTCTGGCCCTCTTCCCCATTACCTCTTCCTGGTCCAGCATCTGCTGCTTGAGTTTCTCTATGAGCTGGCTCTGCTGGTTGATCTCATCGTCCTGTGGGAGGCAATGGGGAAAGATGGAAGGAAGGGAAGCTAGTCCTGCTGGTCTAGACTCACGGGGTTGAGGGAGAAATAGGATCCTAATAAAATTCAGATAATTTATGTTTTGAGTTAAAAAAAAAACCCATATCCTAAAAAGACATCTTTTCCTCCACTTCTTTCCTCAACTCCTGCCCTCATTTTAAAGTTCCTTTCTTGCTGGAAGTTGGTATAACCTGGACAATACATAGAAAAATCCTTAAAATATTCATATCCTTCAACCTAGAAATCCTGCTCTAGCACTCCATCCTAATCAAATCATTGAAAAGCAAAATCTTATGCACAAGAGGCAGGTAGTTCTTTCAATAAAGTTAATTATTTATAATAGCAAAAACAGACACAACCAAGAAAACTAGAAGCCCTGTGATAAGTGAATGGTTAAATACATTTTGATAAACAGACTGTTAGACAGCCACTTAAAAATGCTTTTACAAAGAATTGTTAACCAAGTATGAAATTGCTCATTATATGATATTGAATGAAAAAAGTCAAATGCAAAGTTACATACACGGTACATCTCAGCTGCACAGTGTATGCACAGGGAAAAGCAAAACGTTAATAGCAGTATTTCCGAACGGTGGGGTGATGGATGATTTTAATTGCCTTCTATGTACTTTTATTTATCTTCCACATTTTCAGTAATGAACATTTACCCCTTTTAAAATCAGACCAGGGCAGTCTAAGCTAATTTGTTAAGTCTCTCTTCTCATTCCACAGGGCTCATCTCTGTGCCCTGCCTGACTGCCCCCACCTTGTCATCAAGCTGCTTGTAGAGGCGGCGGATCTCCTCCTCGTATTTCTGCCGTTCCTCAGGTGCGATGCGCACCACGATGGAGGAGTTGTCGTTCAGAGGAGTCTCCTCGCAGAGCTCAGCTCCCAGCACTGCATCCTCCCCAGCCAGGCGCTCAGTCTCAGGCACGTTCTCTCCTGGGAAAGGGGCAGAACAAGGTGAGGGTTGGAAGAAGGGAAAGCTGCACCCACCAGTCCTTCCTCCCTCACTGCTCAACACCAAGACCTCCAGGCCTCGGTTTCACTTGCTAAGTGGACCTTTTCAAGGGTGGGGGGATATGGTAGTCAGGCCCTCTCCCTTTCCCTCATGACTGCTCCATTGCTCGCCTCCAGAAACACAGCCCTCCTTGGGACCGAACTGCCCTTAAGTGTCACCCCAGGCAGGGCTCTTGCTGGCTCCCTAAGCCCCCTCCTCCTCCCACCACTTGTCATGCCAAGACTCCTCTCTAACCATTGCGCCAGCGGCTCAGTTCAGCCTCTAGCTTTGCAATGGTTTCCCTCTGAGCCTTTGTCTTCTCCTTCTCCTTCTCATATTTCTTCTTCCACTGCTCAGCTGTCAATTCCAGATTCACTGAAGCAGTGTTCTTAATGGTCTTTGCCCTGCGTGAGGAGAAGGGAACAAGGTGATGAGACCTCCATTACGGCTTGCCTGACGCTGAGGGGAGAGAGCAGCAGGGGCTGGGCAGGGGGCTGGGGACCCTGCTACTGACCGCTGCCCAAACATCAGGGTGGACTTGGTCTCTGCATCATTGTAGCTGGATGGTGAGCAGCAAATGAACATAGTTGTGCGGCAGTTTCCTCCCAGAGAGTCCTGGAGAATCCGAGTCATTTTGCTGTCACGATACGGAACATAGCTTTTCTGGGGGGAGGAGGGAGAAGTGAATTAGAAAAATAAATGTAACAGGGGAATCAGAAAGGACAGGGCTGGGCTAGAAATCGGGCAATCCATGAGTAGGGGCATGGTTAGATGGCAGCATGAGGGGGAACTTGAGGGCGAGAGGACCCAAGGAACACTCACGGTGCCCTCAGCCAGGGCAGAGATCACGTTCCCTAGAGCAGACAGTGACTTGTTGATATTCTTTGCCTCGTCCAGCACTGCTCCCTCTGCTCCGGTCTTGCTGACCTACCAGGGCATTCAGGGACAAGTGTGTCACAAGCCACTGCACAGGGAGAGGGCTCTCACTACCCCCCTCCACGTAGGAGCTTTCAAAGAGGGGAGGTAAAGGAGACAGAGAAGGCCCTTTCTCTATCTCCCTAAACTCTTTTGCCGAATCCACCCCCTCCCACCTACACATCATACATATTATATGATCCCATTTACATGAAATGTCCAAAAAAGGAAAATCCATAGAGACAGAAAGCAGATTAGCGGCTGCCAGGGGATGGGGGAGGGGAGGACAGGAGTGACTGTTAATGGGTGATGAAAATGTTCTGGAATTGGGGGTGATGGTTGCACAACATTGCAAATGTCCCCCAAACCACTCAATTGCACCTCTTAAATGGTGAACTTTATGGAACGTGAATTATGTCTCAATGAAAAAAAGTTACTTTGATTTTTTAAAAAGGCCACCTCTTTCCAAGGCTTCCTTCCCTCACCAACCCCCTCCCTCCCTGCCCAAGACCCACAACCTTCTCACTCCCAGCCAGGTCCACCAAATACAGCTTCCCACTGAGCTTCTGCTCAGTCTCCATGTTCTCCTGCTTGATGTTGATAAGGAAGATGCTGTGGCTGCGAGAGCTGTGTTCATTCATGTCTGCCGGAGGAAGGCAGAGAGAGTCCTGATACCAGCCCGACAGACTGAAGCCCTCAGCCTGGCTTCCCCTGACCGCTACCCCGCCCATTGAGAGAGAGGGTCCCGCAACTACATTTCCCAGGCAGCAGGGTCACAGAAACAGGGTCCCTTCTCCTCTGGAGGATGGTCTTCCCTTGCTCTCTTTTGAGTCTTTCAATCCCCAAAGGCACAGAGGGGAGGTGGACCCCAGACTCAAAAGTCTCATATCCCCACTCACTGGTGACAGCCACATGACGATTCGATTTCCCCTCATCAATCACATCTAAAATCTCCTCCGGACTGGACACAAAGCGTTCAGTACAACCCTGCAGGGGGCGAATGGACGACAGCCCATGAACTTTGACCTGCAAATTCGATTACCTACACACCTGACAGAATGGCCTTTCCAGACAATGTCCTTTCCAAGGCCCAAACTCTCCCCAGCCCCTTGGCACATATCACCCCTCCAAAAGACCCACCCTCAGCTTCTAGGTCACAGTCCTCCCTACCCCCATACCCACACTCAAAATATACTGGGTGCCCCTGTCCCCTCTCACCTTGACAAATGGCACCCGATTCTTGTCCTCGTGCACAGACAGATTTGTCTTGGTCACTGAATCAGACAACACAGATGAGGAAGGCCAGCACTTCCCCCTCCGCGCCCCACCAACCCCTGCACCCTGCAGCCCACTCAGATGGTGGTTTCTTCTATGTACAAAAGGGAAGAAGACCCCTGTGAAGCCTAAACTTCCTGCAGTTTCTCCTCCAGGATCACAGCTCCAGGGGTCCAGCCCATCTCAGGTTATTTACAGATAGGTCTGCACATCTAAGTTCCTCCTTTGACCCTCTCGGTTTTTGGAAATCTTGGTGACTGGAGGCAAGGGACTTGAGTATGGATGTATGGGCCCTCATGTGCCCTCCGCTTCTCTTGTCAAACGGTACCTAAACCCAAGAGCAATGTGATCTTTCTTTTCCTTGCCCTCCTCACACCCCCACTCACCATCCAGAAGGTCACGGATTTTGTCCAGGTAAATCTCAAAGTAAGAAACCTGGTTAGGGAGAAAGGAGGAGTATGAAGTTAAGAGGGCCTCTCTTAAGGAATCTCAAGCTAATGTGACCTGCTCCCCCAGTGGTAGTGGGAGGAGAAGAGAGTATCTTAGGGAAGAAGGACTAAGGTACCAGAGGGAAGAGTAAGTTGGGGTGCCCAGGATCTCAGTGAGTTCATTCCCCACCCAGTCCCCATCTGAGGGCACCCAGGGCCATGCCCTGATCACCTTGATGTGGAACTCAAGGTTCTCATCCATGGAGTAGATGTGGTTGAAGATATCTCGGGCAATTCGAGGAATGATTCCCATCAGCTGGGGGTCGTGCAGCTTTCCCTGGGGAGTAAGGGTATTCCAGAATAAAGCTGGGGTTCAGGCAGAATGAGACAACTCAGAGGCATGCAGTTGAATACAAAGGTGATAGGTGATGGGAGCCATCCTACGCTGGGAGATGGTCACTGTCTTGTCTAACTTTTTGTGGAAGCAGGGCAGAACTGAGTGACCCTTTGAACTTTCACTGCTGCTGCTTTTCCAGATCAAAAGAAGAAAACTGGAGTAGTGGAAAGGAGGGTAAACTACAGCAGGCTGAAGGGACTGCATTAAACTTGCATTAGATTGTTACCCCTCAGTTCATCCTTGGACCCAGTGACCTCTGCACCAGGCAGCCCTTGATTCCTAGCTCTTCCCTTGATGGGATTTCCTGTTCTCCCATTAACACTCCCAGCCTCTCACCCTCCATGGAAGTCAGAGCCCTCACCTCCATGGTATGTGTTTTCCCTGAGGATGTCTGTCCATAAGCAAATATGGTGCCGTTGTAGCCAGCAAGGACATCTGGAAGAGATGGTGGAGAAAGAGCATTGGTGGAAAGAGCTGGGGCAGGGAACAGGGAGCCTGAAAAAACACATTAAAAAACTACAGCCATTACCTTTGACAATCTGCATGGCACACGCATGGTAAACTTGCTCCTGAGTCGTGTTTGGGGGGAACACACGGTCAAAGACATATGGCTTCCCCTGGAGTGGAAATAGAAGACATCAGCGGGCAGGGTGCAAGGGATGCAAGGGAAAAGAAATGCTGAGACCTCATCCAGCAGCCTGAGAAGGCATTTGTTCTTCAGCCATCCACATGCATGGATGGTGACTGGGAGGAGGGAAACTATAGAGAGAAAAACAAAATTTAGTGTTGACATCAAGAGTTGTGCCATTGAGGAATGTCACACAGTGAGACTGTGTGAGGGGATCTCAGTCTGGGTGTGATGGTTTAGCGTTCCAATACCTTGGACCCCCTGTCCTCAGAAATCAATGGCATAAGACAATGGGGCTGGCCACAGGCTACAAAGAGTGCAGAACAATTCCTTAACTTTAAAAATCTACCCCTGAGTTAAAGACTATCTTCCTTTATAGCTCCACTATATCCTGATATGGAAGGGCTTTCAAGATGTTTTAAGTGAAAGATGCTAAGTTAGATATATATATATATGAGTGTTCCCTATTGTGTAATGAAATATACATATACCGAGCTGCTGAGCTATTATGGAAACAAGCTTGTTTTAGAAAGGATTACATAAAATCATAAATATGGGTCTCCCTTTAAAGAATTGTAAAGTAAGTCTCTCAGACCTACAAGTACTTTGCTTAATTCAGGTAACATGGTATAAATCGTGTGTGCTGATAAGAATGTTAAAGATACAAAATATTTACAACCCAGGGAGTCAAACAAACAAAGACTATATTTGATATCTAATCATACCAAATGGAGGATCTCTGATGAGATTAAATGAGACCATGGTTGTTCTCTGTCATGTGAGAAATTTCTTAGTCGTGTTCCTGCAATTCAGTATCAAGAGGCTATACCTTAGTCATCAAATTGTTTGACTACAGAGCCCATCTTTACCCAACTGAAGTGCAAGCCGCTATGTCTACGGACACCAGCGTTTGGGAGACATATTTTAAATAATTAAGGAAAGTCATACAACTGGGCTAGAGCTGAAGTTGTGCATCTATACATAGAATTTTTTTTGCTAGAAGGAATGACACAAAAGTATGAAGAGTGGTTATTTTGGAGAAAGAAACTGAAAGGCAGAAGGCTCTCATTTTTCATTCTGTATTCTAGATTGTTGTCACTTTTAAACCATGTTTAATATATTTTTAAAAATTGTGAGGTCAAAGAGGGGGAAGCAATATTGCATTATCTGGTTTCCTTCTTTTTACTTCTTTGCCTAAAGGAAAATAAATATTATTTTCTAATATTAAAAAGATTAAAAAACTCTGGCTTGTGATAAAAATCTACCTGAAATAGTTAGCTGGTCTCTCTGGTGAAAGCCCATGAAGCCCGAAACCAGAATCCACCGAGAGAAGGATGTTGTGAGGCGCTCTCTACAATGAAGGGAATACTGTACACCAACAGAGGCTTTCTAGAGGACAATTCCATTAAAAATTTAAATGTCCATACCATTTGTACTTTGTATCAACAACTCCAGTGCTAGGTATTCATTTTACAACCCTTGCTTAAGCACTGAAAGATGTTTGCTGAAGAGGTGTGTATATAAAAAGAGAAACAACTGTATGGGAAAACATATTTGCCAATGATACCTCAGACAAGGGTTTAATCTCCAAAATATATAAAGAACTTACAGGACTGCACTCTAAGAAGACAAGCAACCTAATTAAAAAATGGGCAAAGGACATGAACAGACACTTCTCCAAGGAGGATCCAGAGGATCCAGAGACACATGAAAAGGTGTTCAATATCACTAGCTATCAGAGAGATGCAAATTAAAACCACAGTGAGATACCACTTCACACTGGTCAGAATGGCCATCATGAACAAAGCAACAAACAACAAGTGTTGGAGAGGTTGTGGAGAAAAGGCGACCCTAGTGCACTGTTGGTGGGACTGCAGACTGGTACAACCACTATGGAAAACAGTATGGAACTTCCTCAGAAAACTAAAAATGGATCTGCCTTTTGACCCAGCAATTCCACTGCTGGGACTATATCTTAAGAACACTGAAACACCAATCCAAAAGAACCTATGGACTCCAATGTTCATAGCAGCACAATTTATAATAGCCAAGTGCTGGAAGCAACCTAGATGCCTATCAGTAAATGAGTGGATCAAAAAACTATGGTAAATTTACACAATGGAATTCTATGCAGCAGAAAGAAAGAAGGAGCTCCTACCCTTTGCAACAGCATGGATGGAGCTGGAAAGCATTATGCTGAGCGAAATAAGCCAGGCAGTGAAAGACAAATACCATATGATCTCACCTTTAACAGGAACCTAAACAACAAAACAAAGAAACAAGCAAAATATAATCAAAGACACTGAAATAGAGGACAGGCTGACAGTGACCAGAGGGGAGAGGGAAGGGAATTTCAGGGGTGAATGGGAAGGGTTTACAGGAACAAATATAAAGGACACATGGACAAAAACTAGGGGCAAGGTGAAAATGGAAGGGAGGTGGGGAGGGATGGGTGGGTGGGCTGGAATGAGAGTAAAGGACAGAAAAATGTACTTGAACAATGATTAAAATAAAATTTTTGTAAAAAGAAAGAAAAACTAGAAACAATTCAAACATCCATCAAGACCTTGGTTTTGACACCTCTGTATTCTACCCCCATCAAAATAAGCCCGGTTAGTTCACATATATTGACACGTCTGTGGTCGATTGTTAAGTAAAAACATGAAAACAACGTATATAATGTGATTATATTTTAAAAACTATGTATATAATGCGTATGGATAGAATACCTCGGAAAAAAGATATGAAAGACTATACAAAGAACTGTTCATGGTGATTATCACTGGAGAGCAGAATGACAGGAATTTATAATTACTACATTTTTCCTGTGATATTTAAATGTTTTATAATGACAACATATTGCTTTTAAATTAAAAATATATAGATGATGTTATGCCCTGGCTGGTGTGGCTCAGTTGGTTCGAGCACCATCCAGTAACCTAAGGGTTTCTGGTTTGATTCCAGGTCAGGGCACATGCCTAGGCTGAAGGTTCAGTCCCAGGTCCAGTCACATACAGGAGGCAACTAATCGATGTTTCTCTCTTTCACTTCGATGTTTCTCTCTCTCTAAAAGCAATAAAAAATGTCCTCAAGTGAGGATAAAATATGTATAGATGCAATTACATGACAAAGTATATTAAGCTAAAAAAATGGTTTTAAAAATAGTATCAATGTAAGTGTAAAAAATGTGTAAAGGATGATTCCATTTCGTTAAAAAAGTATATTGTCTATGCATAAAAAAAACATGTTAACAAGGATTACCCTTGGAGAATGAGATTTTTAGATTTTTGTTCTTTTGGATTTAGATTTTAAACTTATCTAAAAGAAAAATACAAAAATTTTAAATAAGAAAATTTTAAGTTTTTAAAACAATGACATTAATTTTCTTTTTTTAAATCCTCACCTGAGGATATATTTTTATTGATCATTTAGAGAGAGAGGAAGTGGGAGAGAGAGAGAGAAACATTGACATGGGAAACATCGATTGGTGGCCACCTACATGCCCCCTGACTGGGGATCGAATCTGCAGACTTCTGGTATATGGGACTATGCTTCAACCAACTGAGCCACCCAGCCAGGACAAGACATTAATATTCTTACTGTATTAAAAAACTCTCATTAATTAGTAAGAAAAACACAAAATTAAACATAAAAAATGAACAAGAACTAGCTACTAACAACAGAAGAAAATACAAATGTTCATTAAACGTAAAGATGTCCAACATTTCCAAAAAAAGGAAAATATAATGGTAACATTATTATTCACCTATCAAAACAAAAACTTCATTGTTATACACAGTGTAGATAAGGACTACAGGGTTCAAGGACGTATAATTTCCTTGAAATGAGCACCCTCATTCTTTTCTGGTAGGACAGTACACCCACACAAGTTTTATGGGTGCAAATCAAAAATACATAATCAAAGTCTTGAATTGTATGTATCCATTGACCCAGATATATTTGTAGCAAATATTTAGCTGCAAGAATGTTTACTATCACAATGACTGCAGCCACCAGAAATTTAAAACACCTCAAAGAGTAACATTTAGGGAACTAGTTTACATTAAAAAGTGGCATGTACATATATTTTATTCCTTGCCACTATGTAAAATGATGTCATACTAGAACATCAATAAATCTAAAAAATGCATTGAGTGAAAAAACTCAAACACAATGAGCACATACTGTATATTCCCTTTACATGGAATTCAAGAATGGACGAAACTTATCTATAGTGATAGAAGTCGACATAGTGGCTGCCTGGGAGTGGTATTGACAGGAAGGAGGCACAAGGGAACTTCTCAGGTGTGACAGAAATGTTTTAGATCTCAATCTGGGTAATGGTTACATGAATGTCAAAATATGTTATAAAAATCATCCAGCTGTTTGCATAAGGTAAGTGTCCTCACTGTATAGAAACCTCAGTAAGTGCTATCATGAAATATAAAATAATAAAATAATGTTGTAATGGCTCTTAAAATATGAATGGATGCACAAGCTCATTGTTAGTAAGAGAAATGCACATTGAGGCTATGAAATACAATTTGAACCTATCAAAGCGGTCAAAATAAAATAGTTTGATAATGTACTGCATTGGTGAGGGCATATATAAATTGGGTCAACTCTATAAAAGGCAATTTGGAACTAGCTGTTAAAAATTTATTTTAATCCTCACCAGAGAATATGTTTATTGATTTAGAGGAAGGAAGAGAGAGGGAAAGAGAGAGATATTGATTGGTTGCCTCCTGTACATGCCTCAACTGCGGATCGAACCTACAACCTAAGTATGTGTCCTGACAGGGAATGGGACCTGCACCCTTTCTGGTGTATGGGATGGTACTCCAACCAACTGAGCCACCAGGCCAGGGCTAGCTTTCAAATTTTTAAAATGCATATAGGTTATAACCTCCACTTCCAAAAATTTATCCTACAGAAATACTGTACAGACCCTGGCTGGGCAGCTCAGTTGGTTAGAACATCATCCCAATA